TTAAAAAAAAAAACATAAATACATTAAGCTTGCGTCGGCACATGTAAATGTGTGGCAATATACGCTACGCTCAATTGAAGCATCGTGTTTTTCTGCTCAAGTGGCACGTTTTTTTTTTTTTGAAGGAAATTGTGATCATGTATTGCTATAGACTACTATCGAGGATAGACGGTATTGTTGCCGAATTAATCATATTTGAACAATGTCCATTATGGATTTGTTAATTGCGCTATTACCAATGGAGTTAATTATGCATTTTCTTTTATATCATCAATCTTCATTTTAAAGCCATAATGTTTACCTTGTACAAGCACCTGGCAGAGGTGTAAATAAATGGTGACATCAACCTACCGGAGTTTAATAACGATATCATTCAGGCTTCAGTATCGTTAAGTTGGCTTTTGATCCCCTAATTGATATAGCTGCCCCAGCTTGTCAAATCAAAAAAAAAAACAGCCCATCAATATACTGCCAGTGTTTGGCCCACTCGGACGCCGATTCAATGAGGAAATGAATGAATGAATGCATGCATTTTTTGTTATATGGGCTGGGCAGTTAACCAGCCTTCTATATGACTGCCTTCATTTTACAGCTTGATTTTGAACGTGTATTTTACCTAAGGTAAGCTTCATATTGATGTTAACTTTATCCCGTTGTTAAAGGACAGGGCGCACTTTTTTTCATTTTATATAGCAGAATCGTAACAATATGATTGTAGGGGCACAGCGTTTACTGGATTGCTTTTTTGTTTTTTTTTTATATAAAGCAAGTACTCTACTTCGACACGTGCCAACCCCACATGCTCATGCTTTTCATGAAGAAAACTAAGGCATAGACGAATATTGAAAGCCAATCGCACCGTATATGCAAAATGTTAAACGATAAAGAATTAAATTCTATAAAAAAAGTACAGAACCTCGATACGTTGTTAACACAACACTCGTTCTAGTTGATTGGGTGGTCATTTGGGCCACGCACATCTAGGGAAAAAAGCAGAAACCTAAACTTCATAATTAGTATGCATAGAAAGATCAGCGGAAGATAGGCACAAATATTACCTTTCTTTGTACATGCAGATTGTGTAGCGTTCTTGTGTCCCTGAGATGATGATACATTCAATATTCATCATAATAAACGAAATACATAGTCATTGTTATAATTATTCTCTATAAATGGGTGTTATATAGCAATATTACGGGTAGTTTTTTTTTATTTAATGTATGAAATCCAGTCAACATTCGAATATATCTGCTTACTGCACACTTCGAGGATAATTAAATGTGTCAATGAGTATGACCATTAAATATGCTAGTGGACATAGTGCTAACAATGCATAGCACGGTACCGCAAAAAAAAAAGTAAGCCTAATCAGTCCTTTTTATGGAAACATTAGAGAAGATCGAGAATAAGAAAGCTAAACATTTTAATTCATTCTGTTTATTATTTTTAAGGCCCTTGGCTATTTCTACTACCTTCGAATCATCTTTTCGGCATAGAATCAAAGGCTCACCCTCCACCAGAAGATCCAGTTGTAGTAAGTCTTGCTGGATTTATCTGGGCTTTCAGTAACAAGCCTGTGAAACCGCATGATAACCGTATGCCATAGCGACCATTTGGCGACGCCGAATTACATGCAGTTAAATAAAATGAGTTTTTGCCCAAAAGGTTAAGTTCTATAGACATTAAAAACAATAACCAACAAGATAACGAATAACTACGTCCGAACCGCTATCACTTACAAATCTAACCAGTATCTGATAAACTTATACTGAGGACTATGCACTCTTTACAGATGTAAACCTTAAAGCGCTAAATACGTTTATAAGGCGCAGGCACAGCGCAAATCCCAAGCTTAACTTCAATTAACGCACAGAACTGGATCAGTTAAAGGATACCGCAGGAGAAGCGCATGGTGTCGTCGCATAGTGCTACTCGGGTAAAACCAGATGGGACAGTACGCACGGAATTATTGGTCAATATATAATACTTTGACGGAGCAAGCATGTAATGGCGGTGACATTTCAGAGAGCCAATGATAGAAAGTATAAAGCAAAAAAAAAAACAGTGCAATAGGAAGCCGGTAAGTATCGAATTCGAACGGGTATCTTTATATAGATATAGTATCTTTTATATTTTGCGCTGTTCCTGCTTTGTCCGGATTAAATTTAGAATGTCGTCTATATGTCAGATCAGAATTTTACAGATTCATCATAGCTTTAGCCTGGAGTCGCGATCCGATAACATCAGTTCCTCTGCGAAAAGCCCTTCATATATTTACACACCCCATCAGTGCTGATCTCGGATTTTAGGGAGAGCTACAACACGCGTTAGTAGTTAGTAGTTACGTCAATCTACACTGCTGTTAAAAAGATTCTGATATCCAACGAATAATTTACTCATTGGTAACTGTACAATGTGTACTGGGGTTCTGTGCACACAGTCTACATAATGTCATAAATGCAAATTTATTTTGAACAAGATCATAGACATGACATTTTTGCTGAGACAAGATGTGTATTATAAAAGAGTCGTGCTTTTCTCAGGTAAGTGTAAATCAAAACTATGAGACATATATTATTTCGTAGCGGAAAAAGATCTCCCCTAAAGAGTAGTTCAATAAAACATAGCTCATTCCTATTATACTGCTCGTCATATACGGTATTATTAACATGCCCAATATCATCATATCAGTTACGTTTATTATAAGACTGTCGGAAATCTTTGCGTGATGGTACTAACCCTGTTATTAGAACTGGTGGCCATTGGATCACAGCTGTGAGAGAAACCAATGTAACAAACATACCCATCGATAGGAGACGTGTTATTACATGGAAGGGGTAGGGACAGACCTGAAGGAAATAGGTTAGAGGTTTGGAATGGACTTTAATCGTATAGCTGCTTTCTCTTAGCGCACCCACGATCTCCATGTGTTCATGGCACTGGAAAAGGCAGGAGGTTAATTAATATAGTTGACTTATACACAAAGTCTAAGGTCTTCTCTGTATGTGTAACTATTTCCTTATCGTTCTATACTATGCGATCCGCTACTGGACGCGTACGTTGCTGTAATCGATAGTGTTTTTACGATTTCTCCTCAATCTAAACTATCCGTTGGTAGTAGACAGGATAAAATCTTCAAGCTCATTTTGAAAATTGTTATTTTATCTACAAGTGAATCGATCAACATTTGCTTTAATACATCCTCACTTCCCGAAAGTCTTAGGAAAACAAAGCCACTGTCGAGAGCTGGGACTCGTTCGAGTGCTCATAACTGTTTAAATAATATATGGCTATAACAGGATAAGTCTCTTGGGCACAATTGCCTAAATTATCTAAGGACAACGGCCGATGCCAGGGTTACTATTTGCGTAGACTTGTTGATGTGCATATTGGTTTCTAGTCCTTTACTAAAGCGCAGAAAAAAATGCTACCTTTATCAAGCTTCTAACGAATTAACCGGTAAAGTAGTTTCAAACGCCGGCAAAAACTAGCCTACATACGCATGAATAAATAAAAATAACATAAATGGCTGCATATTATATCGCCATGGGCGTTTCCGAGGCCTGTATAACTAGAAAATGAGCGCATGTTTTTCCTATGTCTAGACAGCTCTGAATTTTTATCTAAAGCTATCTGAATTCAGTAGTATTCTAGGTATCTAGTAAATGAATCACAACAGTCTGATGAAGCCACCCATATTACAAACGTACCTAAAACATCAGACACTAAGCCTATACAGTGTTGTTATATGCGCAAAGAAAATAGGAACTCATCCAGAGGCAAGGAGCGTTCAGCCGAACCGGAATCATCTCAGATCTGAGACTCAGCTCACCTATCGAAATGGAAACAGATTTGAACGTTCAAACACCGATGTTTCGCTCTTCTCCGCCGTTAGCATCAATGCTGCCAATACTACTTTGTCCCTGATACCAACGCCAGCTCGTGTCTAACGGCCGATGTCTGTCATAGTCGTCGTCGTCGTCGTCGTCATCGATGACACGCGGTCAAACCAGACAAAATTCTATTCAGATCAACAGCCAACTATTTGGATGTCCTATCTTACCAGCAGCGCGTTGTCGTTGCGTTAGCGAATTCGGTCTCAAAGTAGTAGGACAAGCGCTATGCCAGTGGGCGGGCCTCAATTAAGGCAAACCGAAAACGCCTTCGTTGATGATCGATAACTGACATCTTGTAGCTCTGGCAAATCCCTGCTTGATTGTAACTATTGCTACATTTGTCGGTCGTTTAGCTGCCTATGTGTCGTTCTGATTGTGGTGTCGTGCCTTTATCCCGATAACACAGATGATTGTCATCTCACAGCTGCATCTCAAAAGCTCTGATGTCGACGTCTCTAGCCAGAGCGCATCTCGGATGTACTAAACGCGTATTCATTATTCGCTGTTCTGTTACTATTGCTAGTCGGACTATTCCGACTACCGTAACAACTGTGTAGGCCAGCAACAAATGTCAGCGAGAAAAGAGAAGGACGAGAATGAAAAAAAAAGGACTACTTCAGTCATATTTTTTTCATCTGTCCACCATCGTTCCGTTCGTCGATAGATGGGGAATACCTGGGTATCGTGTGTCGAAGTGAACTTTGTCGTCGGCGTCTCCGTTGTATTGTGCTTTTCTTTCCGTCTACTGTTATATCCGCTCTCGTTGTTGTCCGCTACAGCAGAACCTTTTGTTTTGACGTAGTTTGTGTTTTGTGCACGTCGGAAAGCTCATGGCTAGAAATAATAGCGGCGCACTCTAAAAAAATGCATTGCCGAAATATTTGCTCGGCAATTAAATGCCGAAAAAGAATTAGAATTAATAAAAATAGTAGTAACAATAAAAGTGGTAGTGATAGTAAAAAAAAAACAAGACAAATATTGCGTATTAGAGGAGAAATTCATTTAAGCTTATCGCCTATAGGCAAATGTGGTACATTTTTATTACTAGTTTTTTGCCTGCTGGGTAACGTATTCGTATTGGTTCCGGTATACCTCTGAAAACCTTATTATATGGCCAATGGTTCCAATCCAGGCGGGCCTTACCTAAACCTTGGTGTTACAATCTTGACAAATGTCTTTTCCTCTATTAGATTGATAGATAGTATTTCAACATATCACAGTCATCCTGTTCTTTATTTATTCGCCACGTAACAGCAGTATATCCATATATCATGCCGACCTTTTCGCTCATGAGCAACTCCTCTTATTAAACCGATGTAATAGCTGCCCCGTGCGTGTACAAACAGAAGTCAATGCTGTCGCGCAGAAGACAGACCTTTTACCTAGGCTCGCGATCACCAGGTTCTAACACGATGAACTAAATGAATAGAGACCGCGATAACAGAGATGGCTGACGGGAACGGGAGCTATTTTGATTGCGAATCATAGGTCCAGTTTTTGAAGTGTAGGTCTATGAAAAATGAGGTCTACCGATGTCTATGGCAGCTTTCTTTCGACATTATGTATTAGTTGCACTATTGACTGTTGTTCGTGATCGCTGTTTGACTCGTTGACGTACGCTGTGCGTTGCGTATGAAGACAAATTCATTTTATCCCGATTACGATATGTTTTTTCCTACTATTTATAATATATGGGATGCGCTTTAGTTAAACGGTTATAGTAAAACAACGGCTTTCATTCGTAGGGTTTGCAGCTGGTCGATTTAGGACATCAATACAAAAAGACACCTATAGGGTGGGTGTTCTGTATCATTGTAACCATCATAGTATCATAGGTGCTGATACGTACGGCAAAGTGATTCTACCTGTGTATCGAGGGCAATGTACAGTCCATGGTACAACCAGAACGTTTAGATCAATCTGAGCGAGGATAAACAGTGCAGTGAATAGAGGTTTTCAAATTCTGACAAATCCATCGCTTAGAGACAACGCCCTTGACTACGTCATTAGCTACTTCTCACAATTTCGGCATACGTAAATGCTTGACAAGTTGCCAAAGAAGCCGGACTTGGCTGCGCCGACTGTTAAATGGTTCCAGCAGAGAAAACATCAATATGATACGATATCACTCTAGAAAAATCTAAATGATCAAAAACAGACAGAACCCTCTTTAAAGGCTTGTGGTTACAGGCTCGTCTCTAGTGGGAGGTGGTCTTTTAGAAAATTTCAGTACAAAATAGCCTCTTGAAGACAAGTACGCATAATAAGTAAGAATACCACATTAACGACATGTGGAAATTTCAGTGCTGGCGAAGAGTCAGTTTCATCATCGTTTAGTGACAATTTAATCTTTTGTGGTTGGTTATGTTTAAGCTCTATAGATTTTTTTTCAGATAGCTATACAAGTTCCGAGTCAACAGCTCTAGCTATTTTGCGCTTTACCGCTCTGCCCGTTGCGTTGATATGTGCCATGCCCCCTATGGTTGTTGGGGAGCGATGACGAATTCAGTCTTGTCACTGGTGATCATTTACGTCTACTTATTGCATAATGGCCATATTAAATCCTGCGGGGCACGCGGCAGCCTATCCGCAAGGGTACATCTGTCAGATACCGGTATATCATTGGGCGGGCGGACCAGGTGGGGCACAATATTTCAGATGAATGGTCGTTCGCCTGCTTCACGTGAATAGCAGCGCCACTGCTTGAAGCACACGCTCGAATCGTAGTCGCACATAACGAATACGTCGTGTGATGCAAGCCGAGACACGAAAACAACCAGATCGCGTACGCACGCGTATCTGCAATCGCAGAACGTATGAAGTCGACTCAATTAATAAATCACAAATCCAAACCCAGAAGTTAAATTTTCTATTTTATACAATATGAAGCCACGGATCTATTTATCACATTCAATGTTAGACCCGCAAAAACGATCCTGTCAATTTAAACGCTAGGTATAGGTGTAGTTGTAACAAAAATCAGTTATAATAAATAAAGATCTATTATTACTAAATCCGATAAATGGACGAGCGCATCAGTACATATACAATTGATATAAAACACTAATCACTCATTGAACACTTGACGATTAATTAAACGATAGAATAACAAAAGGAAGAATTTCATAAATAAATGCGTTTCTTTTAACTGTCAACTAAGCTATTGGCGAGATGATTACTACATAAACTAGCCGCACTTTGTTCCAATCGATCCCCGCAGGATGACAGGTAAAATATGCCGATAGTGACGCTGAGTCTTCTAACAAAATTGCGGCGTCTGGAAACCGTGTACTAAAAATAATCGGAATGGCATACCATGTGGACAATGCTTCGTGAAGAAGCAGGGCTGACGATTCTGATGAACGCTGATACCGGCCAAAGCGATCCGTTCGCGTTGAGCTATGTGTTGCCTAGTTGGAAGCTAAGCATTTCAGTCGACCCTTAGAAATCATAAGAGTTTCAATATTAGAAAATCAAAATCTACCATTGTTTGTACCAGCTGAGGTCAAGAAAGTACTATGTAAGTCAGCGCTATGAATCGCCGGTGAGGCCAAAGGGTCAGTAGTGTTTACAATATTTGAATGATCATATATAAACCACCGTTTCATTTTCTGTTACAGGTGAAAACTCCGGGGGGACTACTCGAAGAATAACTCGAACGTTTATCTAGAAATAATTGTCATATCGTTTCAAACTCGGAACGATTTTTGTACCATCTATCTATCTATCTATAAATATTATAAGAAAGAGTCATTGCGCTCAGTTGGCCTAATGCATTTAGCGTAAAATACTGTTATTATATAAAATTATACTTCTTTTCACTATGTAAGTTCTCTTTTTTGGTTGTGTCTATTCCCTAAGTCACTGTTTACAAACACAGCCTCACTCTGGCAACACACAGATCGTTTTTATTGACGTTTCGCTGATCACCAGTACTATTCAAAGCCGAAAAACTGTCGCTAATTTGATCGGACTCTCGATTATATTTGACCGGTGAAATCGTACTAATTTTTATGATTACAAGGATACTTGCGACCGAAACTGAAGCCGGATCCTATAATCTCTGTGGTCGTTCCGATGGTAAGAACCGTTGCGTCGTTGGCCAGTCGCAATTAGTTGCTTTCTTTCGCCTCCTACGCTGCTGGCTGTATCGGTTTCACGTCACGAACGAATACCCATTTCATTTTCTAGCTGCATCTATACAATCTGACGGCACGCATAGCTAACGTAAAATCACCCACAGTTATGCTACGAGCTCGTTATGCAGACCGTTGGAGTCATCCTGCCTCTGACGCTGTCGCCACCGCCATAGGGCCAAGCGCCTGCAATTTTTTCCGTCTTGTCAGCCCTACAGTTGCAGGTCGACCAAGATGCCGTTGGCTCGCTTGAAAAAACGATGCCGTTTACTCGCTTACTTACACGTAGTGCGACGACATGCTAGGCTGAGGCGAGCGACAGCGACCTATTGGCCCAGTTTTTCCCAACTCGAACCAACTCGTCTGACTTATCGTCGCCATACCATGTTCCTCAGAAGCAAAACTATATTACAATCAATACCCTTAGCGACAAGAAGGTCAACAACAGTCGTAGCTAGCGGATGATCACGCTGATGGATTCGGAAAACGTTAGTTGATCCGAAATCGACATCTCACAACGGGCTTTCCTCTTATAACATGGTACTGTGGCTGTAATTTTATGGATGCCAAAAGAACGGCATAGTACGCTGCGGCAGCGACCCCTGTATTCGCATCAGTCTCTGACTATGTACTCTCTCGTCGGTTAGCTACGCGGCTCGAACGCATGACTGGCGTTGGCGTCTATAGTAGCTTAGCATGACGGTCGTCTGGGGTCACTTCTGTTCCCACCTGACCCACTTGACGATGACAGACTTCAGCGATTGGCAGGCGGCAGTGGCAACAGCCGCGACATCCATGATTACCATGCTGAAGGACTCGCCGTCTTTCAAAAATAACGCCTGGGATACACGTACATCGAATGCACGAACGCCGCTTACGCACTATTTGAAACTGTTCGATTTCCGTATTGTCGAAACGTAACAGCTACGCCGAAGTACGTAATCAAAACGCAGCCGTAGCACCACTGATCGTAGTTCTTTAGATGCCTAGTAAGAAGATGGCCAGTCTAATCAAAACAAGAACACTCGTGATAGTATCCAAGAACGTTAACTTGATAGGTTAAGGCGTCGTAAATATTCATTGACTTCATGGACCACTAATACAGCGGAACTTTTCAGTTACGCCATCTTTATTAAATGACATATACTCTGTGTCATTTGATGCTTTGAGGCCTCTGAGGCACTTCATGCTGAGGCTAGAACTTAGAGGATGTTATTCACAGACAGTGTTGCTGCAGACAGACGAAAATCAGACTGCATTCGTCGGTGTTAGGACGTAGCACGCCTGGCGAGATGGGATAATATACTATTTATTATACCGTTTACTGAAGATCAAGACTAACATAGAATAGAGCCTAACTGAAAAAATGGTTTTGGTGGATGCAAGGTCCCACAGTACCCGTTCTGTCTGGTTTCGGTAAACCATTAATGCCCTCAAACCCTAACGTCAAATAACAGCGCAAAACTATTAGCTGATTTTTCATTTTAATATCACATTACTGCGTCTAGTGGGTAGGTTTTTACTTAAAAGTAAGAGATAAGATTTTTTTATAAGAGTAAGAGATGGCTACGGCAGGCCGGACCTGAAGCTCTGAAATGCCTTTCTTCCTCTTGAACGGTTGGCTGCGAGAATGCTTTAAGAAAATTCTTTTTTCTTCTAAAAAAAAATATAAACAAATTATATATATATAACAGATTTGATTTACTGGTTTGTATAGTGTAGTGCGAGCGTACGTATCGTTCCTTGTGTTTATGCAGGGTGTTGATCGTGTACGTGAGAACGCGTACTGTTTCGGTCTGGGGCCTTCTCAAGAATAACTGTTACCAGCATCCAATATAAATACCTGCACAAGAGCTATACGGAATTAACTTGAATGGTTGTATTTATGTTACGAGGTGTCCCGTGGCTAAGCCATTGTTAGCGTCCAAAAACTGTTCATTCAGTAGGTTTTTCAATAAGCCTCTTGATAGTTTTTTTGTCATAGAAACTTTCGAATCAATATCATTCTACTGACGCAGCAAGGGCTATTTTCTCATTGACTTACAAAGCTGATGCGGGTGCTCGTTCACTGTCTATACACTATAGTGGATCTCTGTCTGATTACTGCGTTTCAGAAAACAAAATCGATTTTTATGATCTAAGCATAGGCGAACAGATGCCTAGCGTACGACCCTGTAGACGTGCAAAACGTGTACATCGTGCAAGTAAACATAACAATGCTCGATTCATTTCCTGTTAAGAGGTCTTAGTGTTATGTCTAAGGCGATCCCGATTCGGATTTCCTTTTCGGCCACATGTTTTTCTATTGTTAGAGTAACTAGACGCTTATTTAAAGTTTACTTATATATTGTATTTGTGCCTCTGGCTAGCTGGCAGTTTTCGTTCCTTATCAGAGCCTTTAATGGTAACTGTCAGTCTTGGCAGACACTGTCAATTGGAAGCATCATCAGCATCGAGAAGTCGATTTTAGAACCTGTAGAATTTGGAAATATTAGCAATAAACATTTCGTTCGGATGCTAAGATTTGCTAACGCTTCCAGGCACGTTACGTTTCAGGGTGATAGGCTTTATCCACCCGTGAGCTAAAGCCCCTCAAGGGATGAGGTCCACAAGCTTTAACGTGATTAGTTGGCCTTTAAAATTGCTAACGTGTTATCGATACAGATGCGTCGCCCGAGGAGTCACCGTCAAAGAGAAGACTGTGTAATTATTTGCAACAAAATTGCGAAACCGTGTCAACTTATAATGAAATGGCCCACTCGTCAAGTCTATAATGCCACGATCTGTTGTGTAAACAAATTGAGCACAGAAAAAGAAGCAGGTTCCAACGTCAGACCTACTAATACCCTAATAGGAACACGTACTGACGTTAGGTAAGGCGACATAGGCCCGAATATTTCAGGACCATCTCTATGTATCTATATGTTCTACAATCTACAACATACTTAGACCGCAACTAGAAATTATTAGCTTCTCAAAAAGTGTTCATCTGATTACCTCGATTTCCAGTCCACCCTTCCCCTGGATCGGATCGGCTGATGTTTAGCTTTTTAAGAACCGAACAGACATAATCTTCCGAAGCAATGGCTGAATCAAGCAAATGTAATCGGTTCAACGTCCAAATCCGCCCTCCTGTCAAATATATAAATACTACGATATTACAGCTGCAAGCGATGCCAGCCGTCAGCGCCATATGAAAAGTTGCCGGGACCTCAAACGTCTTTATGTCGACGCGCCTCCTAGCGGCAATGGGGCAAAGCTTGCGCGTCGTTATCGACTTTGGTCTTCAGTCGTCGACAAGACCTCTTGCCGTGCACCACACTGAATCGCATTCCGTTTCGTTGCATTGCGCGTCAACCATTCAGCCTTCGGCTGCCATGCCGATCGTTTCCCGCGTTTGGATCGCCTCCGCTATCTAGGATACCACTACGGATGCTTTAAAAGCATAGCTAGATCGAGAAGTGCGGTTTATTATTGAATTGACACGCAGCTGTGTTCTGTAATGTGTATATAGAGACCAGCCGTTACTGGATGTTAATTGCCTGTAATGATAAAGTGAATAGAATATATGTTATGGTGCATAGCTGCAGTGCAGAGGAGTACCGTTAATCGAAGGATTGTGGGGACCGATCATAGTGTTTCGCGCATCGAAAAGTCACAGAAGCTGGCCGCACCCAGACTCCCAGTCGGATTAATTAATCACAACTGATCGAAGGGGACCTATGGTAAAGCCGACTTCGTTTAGTCCTGTTGTGAAGTCAAGTGTCAAACGAAAGAGGGTCCTTCAGAAGGTATTTGCAGACTAGTAAAGGTTTGCAACTCAATTCATTCAAACGCAGCACTGCGGTGGTTCCAGTGACCATGTGCGTGTATTATAGTGCGTATTGTTTTGTCTAATGACCATCGTACCTTTGGATACACGTTATTGGATATAGACACTTGGTTAAGTTGTCAACGTTCTACGGATAGAACCCGATACATCGACCGTTATCAATTTCGCCAAATTTTATCAGGTGAGAAAAACCGGCATTTATTATTTTATTGCGTCTACAAGGCAAAACATATACTAATCGCTATTAGTGTTATTTGAATACCTTGTTGCTCTCTAACTTCGTTCTGGGCTGAAGTATTCACAAAAAAAACTTCGCACGCGTTCATTGTGCTTCTCGATGCTATTGTTAGAAATTCTTTTTCGGTCCCGCGTGGAGAAGCTGAGTAAGTTACATTTTCTTGTAAACCAATTAGATATACGTCTACGTTTTTCTGAAGAATACGTTACTCACCGACTGAAATCAACAACTCGGCTGTCTTTACATGCCGTTACATCTACCAAAAGCATTTAGCTCTCAGGCAGAAGTCTAACTATGTCTTAATTACTATCTCGTAGATAGAAAAAAAAAGGCACAGAAGATAGAATAATGGTCTAATATGGTGGTGTATCGCACTCGCCGCCTTGCCCCTGCCCCCTACCTAAAAAAATAAGGGTATTAAATTTTCTATTCAGAAACGCTTAACATGATAAGCGACTATGTGAGCGACTAGTCGCCATATAATGATAATTATAGACAGATGGTGCTATATCGTGTACGGTTTAGTCAAGAAGGGGATCAAGTGATTTTTAATTCGTATGGGAACGATGGGCGGTTGGGCTCAAAGAAGCGAAATACTTTCTTGATAGTATTCAATAGCGAAGCCATTCATATGGCGGCTCGCATACGACAAGTTCGCAAATGACGGATGCAACAGTTCTTGAGTTTTACCGTAACTATAGTAGATGCCATCCAACCACGAAGCGGCGACAGAAGCCAAAAAGCGCTGGCCGGCCAGGAACAGCCCATACAATGGAAGGTAAACAATCCCTACTTGAGCGGATTTTCAAATTTCTTTGTCACTCTATCGGTTCCTACGTGGAAAAGGCACCACATCTGAAAGATGGAAAATATCAAACAAAGAAGGACATATATTACAAAAAAGAAGTACGTGCTTGCACCCAGCAATCCGTGCTGGAAACCAAATGGGGTAAAGCTGCCTCACAGATACGTGTCGTGAGCAACCCGAATATATGCTATAACTGAAGTGACTATCTATGATTGTAATAATCTTCCGTAATTGACCTTAGTAGGTGCAGAAGCCAAATTATCGTTATTCTACCACTAGAATCTACCTTTGTTTCAGATCACCGTCAGATAACCGTTCTTCTGCGAATAATCTATTTTCAATGTCATTATATACATATATATATATATATATATATATATATATCGTATCAGCAGGTTAAGCGACCCGCAGAATCTTGCTGTTCAAGCGACAAGTGTTTTTTTTTTTCTTTCGAAAATTAGCGTATATATGATTCAAATGACGCACTAGATGATTATGATTTTCAAACAAACTGAAAAAATAGTGTTTTTTTTTTTTTCTACAACTCTCTGAACTGCTGATGTAATTAGGTCACCGCTAGCTGATGGTGGTAGAAACAATCTATCGTGCCCCATTTGTAAATTAGCTCAGCTGGCTTCAGCTTTATACGTCACCTTTTGTAAACGAACTTGACCTATGACGAAGTAATGAATGGTGTCGAGTAATTAAGTACGTGTCGCGCCGTCTGGAGACCATGTTTGGGGTTTGCTGCGTGTGTGATTGCAGAAGCAGAAAAGGAGCCCGTATATAAGTTTTTTTTTTTTTTATTGCTATTTGGCCGTGATCCAAGAATTTGATATATACATATAGACGGTTTGTGTCATGAATATGTGCATACATCCATAATATTCTACAAACATCGACGGTTTTTTTTTAATTTAGCAAGAAAACTATTTAAAGCAAATAGCGGAAAATTGGTCGCTTCTACAGGACGGACCAAGTAAACGTTCGGTATGGACGACAGTCCTAACCACTTTGGCGGCCGTAGATAGTTAAAAAAATTCAAACTTTGAACTCGCTTATCGAAACGAATGTTTTTTAGTCTCTGTAAGATAATTACTTATAGCCTATCAATGTGTCGGACCCATAGGAAGTTTTAGAGCTGGTCGAATCCTGTATATTTGTATACTTTGTGTTAAGCTAACTTGGCCTTAGCAGCTTCCTGTCTTTAGCAGACTCTGCATATTTGGGTCACATTTACCAAGTTCATCCTGTTGTAGGTAGTCCCGGTTAAGACTTTAGCTAGGAGCTTTTTACGAAAAGCAGCTACGTTCTAAACGACGTTGAAGCTCATCCAACGCTATGGCGAGATTACCTTCTCGCTGTATTCATCTTATCTGGTAATACAACAAAATAAATAGGTATTTGCTTTTAAATACAAATAGAGTAAAGATCGTCTGATTTTTTTAATAGATCTTCGAATTTTTTTAATGCAAAATGGTCCAAAAATAGTTCGATATGTAATCAAAAGCTATCCCTAAAGTGACTATTCCACACCCCCATCTAGTTAGTTGCTTTTTCATGATAATACCGCGGCCAGTGTCATTTCAGGCGTAAGTCAAATCGGTAGGTACACACATTGAATGAACGCTAACGGTTATTTCTAAGAGAACCGATCAGCGGAAAATCGTGGCCGGTTGGGGCAAATAAACGTAGCGTATATTTGTGCAGCCATTCGTACGGAAAAACTGCTTCGTCTAAAGCACAACGTTAGTCAGATATAATAGATTTTCTATAACAGATTTTTTATCGGTTGCTTGCATACGTCGGTCGGTTACGCATAGATGTTCTAAACGCCTGCTAAATCTTCTGTAAAAATCTCTATGGCAACGCTTATTTTTTTTTGTTAATTATTCTAAAAATGGGCCTTTTTTTTTGTCATACATGAAATGGGGGCCTTGTAGAATGATTGATTTAGTTATAGTTACTCGGCAATAGATGAAAAACTAAATTAAAGCAATTTGGTTAAACATAGGATCCAAATTCAGCTTATTAAGCCTAATTCTGTATTGCTTTAAACTAGAAGCGTTATGTGCAACGCCGTAAATAGAGAAAAATACCCATAAAGTCGGCCTTGCGCCATGTTGTTGATTTAGCACCATGATTTTTGGCAAGTGCTGATGCAAACTATAAAGTGAAGTAATTTGAAAGTTCTGAACAGTCTGACACTGTTTTCTGATGACACTGTTTTCGTAGTATATAAAATATCTACAGTAATGATACCATCAGGTGACGTGACCTTCTCGTTTAGAAAATCAGCTCAACACCGGCCTAAAACATGCCGATGTAAAAGGCGACTGGAAGGAATTCAAAGGGATCCCATGTTACGTAGTTGATACATTCTATTAAACGTTTCGTTTAGCTGGTAGGTATATCGGAGTGGAATTTATTACTGTAAAATAAATCGTGGCCTAATTATAGAGCAACGTACTATTTTTCAACGAGGTCACTTCAAACCAAGATTACTTTACTGCAAAATTAGAATTCCGATAAACTCGTGAGGCCCTTGGCGAGCGTCTTCGCTGTCGTCCCACTGTCTCTCGACGAGAGGCAGGCGGTCCCCGAAATTAGCCTTGTTTACGTTTAAGGTTACGAACGCTTGTGAATTTGACGTCTGAATGCTGAATGCTATTCAGACCTTTCCAAGATTGTAAATATCGTCGCGGAGTTTTCCATTACTTCAGAGCTGTGGCGATCCACGTAAGGCGACCAATTTCAAATCCTCGATGTTAAAATGAGCTGTAATAAACAGGCCGAACCCTTACCGTTGATAGGTACTGACACTTTGCTCGTATCTGGTTTGCAGTTTTCACACGACAGCCTGCTCATACGACGCAGAATATTCTGTACAAAAACCCATTTATCGTGAAAAGAGTACCGGAATAGACGTTTACGCTGCTGTTCGTCACTGCTTCGTTGTTAAATTAACTAAATAATAAAGTCTTCGATAAAGAGCCTTTCTCGCTCACGCCCGTAGTAGTAGACACTTATGCACACGCACAAATACACCAACACACATACACAGAGACATGGGCGAATATCTTGCAAAAATATTCATAGGTTACAATGTGATAACGACCATTCCACTTTGAAAATGGCGTTTTAAATGCAGCCAAAAAATCAACTGCGTCGT